GGAGGAGCAGCGGAGGGGGGAGCGGAAGAGGGCAGCCTGGAGGAGGCAGTAGGAGCGGGGGATGGCGAAGAGCGGACTGGGCCGGGGAGGAGCGGCGGAGGGGGGGGGACTGACCCTGCCCTCATCTGCTCCTCCACCCCCCCCTTCCCCCCCCCCTCATTCTTGATTGATTGATTGATTGATTGATGAGTTTCTCGTCAGCGGCGAAGGGGGTAGGAGCAGGGTTCGACGGAGGAGCAGCCGAGGGGGTAGGAGCGGGGGGAGGGGGGAGGGGCATCGGAGGGGGTAGGAGCAGTTGAGGGGGTAGGAGCGGGGTTGGGCATCGGAGCGGCGGAGGGGGAAATCAAGATTGGCCCGACCACTCTGGTAGCCAGCGATGGCGATGGCGATGACGACTTCCTAGAGTTGGGCGGAGCAGCGGCGGAGGAGCAGCGGAGGTGCAATTGTTTGATTGACTGATAGTTTGGCTGATTGGCTCATTGGTTCGTTCATTGCCCCCCCAGAGGGAGGGGGAGCAGCCAAGGGCAACAGAGCAGAGGGAGGCAAAGGAGCAGCGGGGGCGGTGAGGAGGAGGAGCGGAGGCACCCACTAGGTCAACAGAACAAGTTTGGAGGTCGGGGATAGCAGTAGAATCACCGCTGTGCATGCGCAAGAACATACCATGAGCCGACATGGACACCTGTGACATTGTATTGCACAGGGACGCGACAAAAGGTTAACCGACCCCCCATTTTTCATGGATGTGAAGGTTACCCTAGGGGTGAAAAGTGGGGGTACCTGTTAACCATTTGTGAGGGACGCCGAACCCCGTTTACAGCAGGTGTTGCTCCCCACCAACAAATGGAGCCTTGTCAATTCCGAAAAAAAAAAAAAAAAAAAACAGAGAAAAAAAGAAAACAAAAAGGAAACAACTCGCGGAGACACCCGCAGGGGAAAGTGATCTGTGTATCTACCCTGTCCCGGTGCCTCCACGGGTCGATTCCCGATTGGAATCGATTACGTAATCGATTCCAATCGGGAATCGGTGAGAAACGCGCATGGAGGGGGCAGTGATCTGCATCACTGCCCCCTGTAGGCGCGTTTCTCATCGATTCCCGATTGGAATCAATTACGTAATCGATTCCAGTCGGGAATCGATCGGAAACACGCCTGGAGGGGGCAGTGATGCAGATCACTACCCCGTCCAGGCGCGTTTCCGATCGATTCCCGATTGGAATCGATTACGTAATCGATTCCAATCGGGAATCGATGAGAAACGCGCCTGGAGGGGGCAGTGATGCAGATCACTGCCCCCTCCAGGCGCGTTTCCGATGGATTCCCGATTGGAATCGATTACGTAATCGATTCCAATCGGGAATCGATCGAAAACGCGCGTGGAGGGGGTAGTGATCTGCATCACTGCCCCCTCCAAGCGCGTCCGCGACCGATTCCCGATTGGAATCGATTACGTAATCGATTCCAATCGGGAATCGACCGCGGGGACACCTGGATGGGAGGTCGACGCAGATCGCGGGCGGTGAGAAGGGGGAAAAGCGATGGCGATGACGATGGCAGGGGGGAACAGGGATGGCGATGGCGATGGCAGG